TTTTTTTTTGTAGAGACAGAGTCTCACTTTATTACCCTCGATAGAGTGCCATGGCATCACAGCTCACAGCAACCTCCAACTCCTGGGCTTAGTCAATTCTCTTGCTTTAGCCTCCCGAGTAGCTGGGGCTACCAGTGTCCACCACAACGCCCAGTTATTTTTTTGTTGCAATTTGACCAGGGTTGGGTTTGAACCCGTCACCCTCAGTATATGGGGCCAGCGCCCTATTGACTGAGCCACAGGCACTGCCCTTTTTTTTTTAAGAGACCAGGTCTCACTCGGTTGCACAGGCTGGACTGTAGTAGCGTGACCACAGCTCACTGAATCCCAAACTCCTGGGCTCAAGTAGGCTCCTGTTCAGCCTCCCAGGTAGCTAGGATTACAGGCACATGAGCCACCAGACTCAGCTAATTTTTTTTTTCTTTCTTTCTCTTTTTTTAAGAGATGGAGTCTCGCTATGTTACCCAGGCTGGTCTCAACCTCCTGGCCTCAAGCGATTCTTCCTCCTCAGCCTCCCAAAGTGCTAGAATTAAAGATAGGAGCCATGGGACCTGGCTTCAACTTCATCTTTAATATGGCCCAGACCTACAACCCTAGAATCATCCTTGCTTCTTCTTTTTTTCTTCTCTCTAATCTGTTAAGAAATCATATTGACCCTCCCTTTACATCATCTCTAGTAAAAGCCTGACCTGTACCTTTCCAGCTTCTTACCATTATTCCTTCACTCACTGTGCTGCAGCCACACTGGCCTTGTTGTTGCTCAGGTAACAGTCTGATGTTCCTTTGGTCCTTGGCAGCGGGTGTTCCCCCTTCTTGAGATGATCCTTCATATAACCACACAATGATCTCTTAACGGATCATGGACCAGATGTCACCTTCTCAGTGAAGCTTATTCTGGCCACTCTATCTAACATTTGTGAATAACACCCACTCCAGCACTCCCACGTCATCATTCTGTACTCTTTCTTCTTTCTTGATGACTTATTACTTTTGGACATACTATGTAAATTCCTTTTTTTTTTCTTATCTGTCTCCCTTTTCCTAGAATTTAATGTCCATGAGGAACTGGACAGATACATTGCAGAGTCCTAAAAATATGCCTGGGCACTAATATTAATGAGTCAGCTACTGTCCTCAGAAAACATACGATGTGAATGAGAATCTTTTTTCACTGGGGACATAGATGAATATTTATTTTGTTCTGATAAATAGGATTTTTAAAAATTTTGGTAAAGCATACACAACAAAGTTTAGCATTTTGACCATTCTTTTAATTTAATATTTTTCAAGTTGAAGTTTTATTTAAAAGTAAAAGAACTGGTTCTTAAAAACATTGGAGAATAAAGCAGAAGGATACAGTGCTCTCTTCCTACAAGTTAGCCAGCCTACCCAGGAACAGAGTAACAGAGTAAATGCTGGTGGAATTTCACAGTAGTTTAGTGGTACAAGATCATCTGTGCCTAGAGTATGAAGAGATTCTTGATGTGCAATGCTTAGTTCTGGGTTTTCATCTTCACTGAGCAAGAATAAGAGCCCCTGCTCCTTGGCCGTAGCCAAAGCCCTTGAGCCCAAAGTTCTTAGCATAGCATCCTTTACAAAAAATGTCACTTTCTTTTTCACTCGAAGTTACTGATTCAAGACTCTTCCCACACTTGGCACATGGAAAGCAGTTTTTATGCCAGGGCTTCCCAGCTCCAGTTTTCTTCTCAGCAGCATATATGGAATCCCCACATCGGGAACACTTCTCAGCACCTCCATGTTTCTGAGCCAATTTAGAAGTGTTTGGATGTGTCATAGGCCTGTGAGGTTGAACACTCCCTGGCTTGATGCCGAGCCTCTCCCCGTGGTCCGTGTTGAGTGTGCCAGCGCCCTGGCCGTAACCAAAGCATTTTGGCCCTTCTTTCCGTAGCAGAATTTTTTCCCACCACAGGTGGAGTCAGTGAGGTCGACCAGGGAGGACATAGGCAGTCCCAGAGCCCACACTTTAACCATTTTATATGTATAATTCAGTGGCCTTAAGGACATTCACATTGTTATCCAACAATCACCACTATCCATCTTTAGAACTGAAATTCTATACCCATTAAACAATAACTATCTATCCTTTTTATCACCAAACTCTATCAACTATCATTCTGCTTTCTTTATTTTCTTTTTTTTGAGTCAGAGCCTCAAGTTTTTGCCCTGGGTAGAGTGCTGTGGCATCAAAGCTCACAGCAAC